ATTGAAAGTTCCATGTTATGGAATAAACAGACATTATACCTAAATGTGCTAGGAGCAAATCTCCATAAGTCCTACTTTACCATTGGTTTGATCTAAAATAATGATTCAAAGAGTGCATTATATTATTATTATTATTTATTTATTTATTTTTTCAGAATACTATATGGGGTACATGTTTTCATTTGAAGTTTCTCTGCCAATTGGCTTTGGGCTTAAAGGCTTGAAGGTTTTAATTTATCTACCACTGGAATGCTATAACTAAGCTAATTCTACATAGTCTTGATATCTGTAGAAGGGAAATGAATTTGCTAAATGAGAAAATGCAATCTATAAATGGGACATGCACATGCTCTAGAAAATAACAGGAGTTCTACCAGTGCTTAGAGTTTTACATAAATGCATTCTGCTCAGATGCTTTGACATGGCTATGGGAAAAAGGGGATAGTGGAGAACACTGTTTTTGCCTTTTATTTTATTTTATTTTTTTTTTCTTATGATTAAAGTACTGGGTGTGTATATTTAGAAATCCTTTGAAAGGTGATTTCCATGAGTTTTGTATTTCCAGCTTTTAGCTACAGTCTATTAATCTTGATTATAGATTCAGACACAGCTTCTGGCAGGAGTTGTGATCTTTGTGGGGAAAGAGTAGAACTGAAATCACTGAGAAAAAGGTATGTGATCAGCCATCTGCTTTGCATGGCATCACTGTAGAACCAAGACTTAGTGTAATCCTCCATGTTACTTTTGTATCAGAATTTGATACTGGTATAGTTTGAGCAATGGACAGAGAATTGTGGAAGAATTCTACTTAAGCTGGTGGCTTTATGTTAGGATAAAAGTTTTTTTTCAAACTTTTTAGAAGCTTGCAGTAACTCTTAATGTAATAAATGTTGTTAGCATGGAATTGCTCTTCCCTGACTTCTGCAAATATTTATTTCTGGTGCTTGACATTTAATTACTCTTTTCCCCCTTTGGTTTCCTAATGGTAAATTGTGTTTCAATCACTCGTGGGAAATTCTAACTAAAGTCATTAGTACTATCACATAAACTCTTAAGTATTGAAATGACTCTTGAAAATGGTATTTAGCAATTCAGAAAGTTTACTTTTTTAAGAAGACAAATGTTGGCTGTATGATCTGAAGAAAAGAAAACAAGATTCCGCTTTCATTGCCATGTATCCCACAAAGGACCGAGGCTTGACGTAGTTCATGTGGTCTGCAACTATTGTGAAGCCATATGACAGCCAAATAATACGAAAGCTAAATACATATGTACATACTTTATTTTCACTTTGCTACAAAAGAGGCCTTGTTTGCACCTTGAAACAGCCTTATGACCCCAAGGGGGGATTTAGTCAATCTATAAACTATGCTAAATCATTTCCCAATGAAGCTACGTGAAATGGTAATTGTAAATAAATCAAACTTTGAGGACATGCTAGCACTGGACACTTTCCTGAAATAGAAGTAGGACATCAATTTGCAACATCTAATCATGAGTTTGATTAAAATTTACAATCATTTTATTGTTATAGCTTTTTTTTTTTTTTTTTTTTTTTTTTTTTTTTTCCCTTCTCCCTTCCTTTGCTGTCTCTCTTCAGTCCTCCATTAATAGCTCTGACAAATAGAAGGCAGATGTGGTAAATCTTTGCGTTGCTCACAGGATCTTTTGTCAGGAGTCAGGAAATTTCATATCCCTTATGTGGTTCTCCTTAAATATGGGTGGGTTCAGCCATACCTACATTAACAAGTAGTTTGGTACAAGAAGAACAGATTAATACACTGAAACGATTGTTGCTGAGGCCTCTGTGTATACCTGGTTTGTGAGTTTGAGGGTTTAGCTTTGTCCTCCAGAAAACGTTTCCCTACCCCTTGTGGTCTGAAACTTTCCAAAGGACAAGCTGTTGGTTTTGTACCCTTATGTCCTTAGCTGTGCTGGGAATGTGCTTCCAGAGCAGGGCTTCCAGTTTGACTTCATCAGAAGGGACTATAGTTCAAGATCACCAAAAGTGCTGTAAAGACTGAACGAAAGTATGCAAGTGTGGACAGTAAGGGGATTTACCTGCAAACCATGGTATTGCTGCAAGCGTATTATAGAGGCAGGGTTGCACCCCTTCCTCCCAGGAGGAAAAAAGAAGCCTGATAATATCTGTAATTCTTTTTCTCTGCAAAGATCACACAGCTTCCTTTTGGTAGAGGAGTGGTTGAGAAGAACTTTTGGCAGTACTAGATCTGTAATTCCATTTAGCTATTCATATGATCTCTCTCAACTAAGGGCCTGCTTTAACTTAGAATTAATATTTTATTTGCGTTTTTATACAAATCTAAATTCTGTTTGCTAGAGTTCCCTTGAGTAGGGAATGATCATGGCTATTTGCAGATTTATTAGTAGTCAAAGCAGATTTTGAGATGGTGAATCATGACATTCATTCAATATTGATGCCTTCTGAAAGGTATAAAAGTAAGCGAAACTCTAGTGGGCGTTTAAATTCTTCACTTTTTTTTTTCTTTTCTTTTTTTTTTTTTTCTCTGTATAGCTTTTAAATCCTCTCTTTCCCTTCTGAACTAATGTTGAATCTTCATTTTAGAAAAACAGTGTTAATCAACAGTCCTGGCTTTAAGCTCTTTATCCAGAAACCATTTTCTCCATTTTCAGAGTTCTTTGTTTATTGGAATTAAGCTTAACCAAAGCTAGTGATTTTAAGGTGAGAGTTAAAAATAAACAAATAAATAATCAGGATCTACTGGGCACATTATAGTCTTTTTTTTTTTTTTTTTTTTTTTTTTTTTTTTCCCCACAGGACGTTGTATTCTTGTTGAATTTCATCATAACCCAAATTAAGTTTTGTCATCACTTTACCTGTGGGAGTGTGAAAACACAAATGAATGCCAAGAAAAGGTGGCACTGGCTGGTTCTTGTGGCTTCTATGTCTGATGTCATGAGGGCTGACAAAAAAAAATAATGTTTTTTCCTTTAAGAGGTGCAACTTTTTCTCTAGTATGCATTGTAATTAAGACCAGTAGGCCCTCACAAATATTATAAATGGAACCTTTGGGGTTTGGCTGTGTTATTTGTATTTGTGAGTATTTTTGTCTAATAACTTCTGAAGTTGTCTAATCAATCAGTTTAATTGGCACTGTTTACACTCAAAGGAAAATTCTTCCCTATATCCCTCCAGGAAGTGCTTTTGTTTTCCTTTTTTTTTCTTTTTTCTTTTTTTTTTTATTTTGTTCAGATGTCCTCTTTCCTCCATTCTTCCTTCTCCTCCTTATCTCAAGTGATCTCTATTGTACCATGGCTTAGGCAAGACAATGGTGATGGATAAGGACTGGTATTTTCATCTGAAGACCCTCAATTCAGTCTTTTCCACTGCCTTTCATGGGGGCAGGTTTAGATCTAGATAAGATTCAGACTGCCTTGTGGGCCACATGCCTGTAGGGGTTTGCCTCTTGTTAGATATGCCTGGTCAGCTGTTCTCCAGGCCTGCACTGCTAGCTGGACTAAATATTCCCTCTGCCCCTTTATTTGAAGTGTTAGTTTAAGGACGGATTATAGCAGTGTGAGTGGCACGGTTGACTTAACTCACTGCATAATAAGGCTGTGGATGAACAACTATGCACAGGAATGTGCAAGAGCTCATACTTATATTTTTCTTCGTATAACAGACTGAGGAAAGTTTGTTTCTTCTATTTCTTTGTTCCAGATATACTCAGTCTGTAAGAGTTATAATTCATCTCCTACTCTTTCATTTTACAAACTATTGTTTGTAGTAGTTGGATAATAGAATGAAAATAAAATACTTTCTACAGACTGTATTGTGTATAACAAATGATGTATTCTTCATCTATAGATGGAAAATATTTGAATCTCTTAATCTCTCAATTAAGAACGAGCAGGTGTTTATAAAGAATATATGAAAAAGCTTTTTGCTAGTATGGTTGAATCACATATCTCTCTTGAAGGAAGAGTTTAGATGAAAATATCATTAGGTATTCAGATTTTTTTTTTCAGATAAAGAGTTTCTTTTAGAGCTAGACGACTTGCAACCCAAGGCATCAGTACTGCTGTGAGCTCCACCTAAATTCCACTTGTACTGAGTTTAAGAAGCAGACACTGCTGAAACATAATACAAGTGAAATATATAAGAAGAATTAAAGGTGACTGTGAAGTATATAGAGAGGTGGACTGCATCAAGGAGATCATATTGCCATTCATATGTGTCCAGAGATGTAACTATCAAAGACAGTTAACTTTCATCTCTCACTGGTTTCTTTTCCATCTTATTTTTTTCTTAGCCAAGGCAACAGATGTTTCTCCTGGGAAATAGTATAATGGGTAAAGAATGGTTTGGGAAATAGATTTGGAAGAGCATGTTGCATGTTTGGGAGAGAATGGAAAAATAAAATTTCAGATGGTTAAGTGCTTATTCTACTTGTATTTTTCCAACTGTGAATCATTTAGCATCTCAATCTTGATCTGACAGTCCTTTTTGTGCAACTTCAGTGGCACTTCTGGGTGTGAAAAGAATATATGGGTGACTGTTACTAAGTTATGGAAAACAGATGACTAAAACTTCATGATTTTTGTTCTCTATGGGTTTTGAATAGTGTTGTCTCTTATATTTTCTTTGTGATATTTAGAACCACAACTTTTTTTTTCCCCTTCATTTCTTGCCTTAAAGTATACCTTTATCTGTGTAGTCTGATCTGATTTAAAGTGCAGACAAACTGGGTCATGGGGAGGGTGATTCTTTGTCTTGGTATCTTTGTCACTGAAACAACTTCAGTTAGATATGAACAAGACCTTTCAGACAGCCAATTCGTGTTTACTATCTGTCTTTTTTTTTGTTTGTTTTATTTTTGTTTTGTATCAGAAATCACACTATGTAGAGTGGCATGTCTCATTTCAGTGTGTAAATTGATGACTAAGTTGTGTTGATGAATGTTTATTTTGTCTATGAAAAGATCTGACAATGAGATTCTTGTTGACTGCTTGTTCACAGCATAATGAAAAGTTCGGTGGTTTCCTCCAAATTGTATGTATTGGCAGAACAATCTGAGACGTGGATTTCACACGGCATGTGGGTATAAACTGCCTTGTTTTCTCATTTTAGAGTGTAGAAGATACTTTTTGGTATTTTCATTGCATATATTTGACAATGTAAATTGCTTTTAAGACTGTCATGCCTTTATAACATGCTGATGTTACCTTAATAGTAGCTGCATTATTTTTTCCACAAAAGCATTTAGCTTACTGGCATTTGTTTTTACTGCTGACATTTTTTTTCGGCATCTAATATGTTGCTATGCAATTTCACTAGAAAAATGTTATGTTAAGCTGACTGAAATGTCATTCTGTCTTTATTTCCCTACAGGTTTTATGGGCTTAAATAAGCACCTGAATAAGCTTTTGAAATGTGTCAGATAATGTAATTTCACAAAGTTATTACATGCTTGTTTCAGTTGGCACTTCATGCAGTAAAGTGTTTGTATGGCTGTTTGCCTTTCTGAAGCATTTTAAAAACAGTTCTTAGCTAGAACATAAAAATATTTGTAAGAGGTATAATTATTAAGTTACTTTTACCAACTGATTTTGGACCAGAGATGTGTTAGCTCTGGAGTATTTTTCTGATACTGGTTTATGTTTTAGTGATTTACTGTATGAAAAAATTAATGGTGGAAATACTTCATATTTACCCAGTTCTGCAGACAAATGCCCTTCTCATCGGATATCTTATTAATAGTTCTTAAGAAAGCCAATTTTTTGTTTGCCAGGTTTCATTTTTTCCCCTCTCCATCAGCTATTTCTAGAGAAACCTGTTTCCAACCTAAAGAGTACTAGTCACATTTAAATGACATATGCATGGTGATTTTTAATCTAAAACACATCACAGCAGCCAAACCTTATCCTTATAATATTTCCATCCCTTGATGTCAGGTTTTTTTTTTTTTTTTTTTTTTTTTTTTTTTTTTAATGCATTAGAGGCTGCTTAATAAAGCTGCTAGATACACTAGCTGAAAATGGGAGAAAAAATCCTACTTTTCCTTACCTAGACTGTTACGAAATAATGTATTTTGAACATGAATTTAAGACTTTGTACAGAGAGATGAAACTGTGGAAATGGGTTGTTTGGGAACTGAATTTTTAAACTTCACTGGATGCAATTCAATCAGGGGAGGGGAAAAAAAAAAGGTAATAGATGAAGTAAGACAATCAAAATTGCAGTACAGATGACTACCCATGTCTGCTGTGAAGAAAGGCTGTGTTTTTCCACATATCTGTGCGTTTACCTATGACAGTGTATCTTAATGAAAAGATTGCTCATACTGTCAGTTTCATTTCTGTCCATAAAAAATGAACATGCGAATCACGAGTGCATCACTGATGAGACAGCAGGAGTGAAAACCATAATGTAGTAATGAATCACAGCTAATTTTACCATTAAGTATTCCGCTCCTTGTTGGGAGTTATGCTACAATGGGTATGAGTACTTAACCAAAAGAGGGAAGTTCTTATCTTCCTAGTACAAAAATGGATTGCCTATTCAAACCTTGAAACTGCAAGCCGTAAGACAATATCTGTAATTAAAGGGTACCCAGAATAATAAATCTCATTATAAACATAGGATAATAATTTAGAATAATTTTGCCAAAATAACAATCTGCTCATTAATGTGTCTCAATTTTAAGAAGATTTAAGATTGACAATAGGGAATATTCAGTTCCTGCTTTTTATTATCTGGCCTAGTACAGCATTAATTTGCTTCTCTTTGAATGCTACAGATGACTTGCCTTATGTTGTGAAGATAGGGAAAAGCTAGTTTTTGATCATATGGTCCTCTCGTCTCCGTAGGGGGTTAATTAAGGAAAGGTCCCTCCTTCAGGTTCCTGCTCAGTCAGAAGCTTTCTGCTTTTCTGGTGCTAAAACTTGTGATGGTGGTCACTTTGTGCACTATAAATCTGGATGATTCCTGGAAAGAGGTGAGATTCTTCTGCTATCCATATTCTTTCATCTTCTGTTAGGACATTGTTTTCAATGGAAACATGCTGAGGGTTGTGTTTGGTGAAGTAGCTCATTCTGTGAGAGTAAAAATATGTTCTTCACTACAGCATGACTTGGAGAGAGCTGAGCTAGGAGAAACTTGGTTCCTTAATTTGTATGTGCTTTGTTATTTACCTCAGTAAATTTCAAGATATCCTAAATTTTGCTTCTCTTCAGTATTCCAATAAAACAGCTGTTTCAACCTTTGTGTCAGAAGGCCCCTAACAGTCTTTCTGTGTCTCTTCACCATGAGATACTGAAGAGAAATGTGTCTTTCTTCCCATAACAATCCTGATGAAGGGAGGCAATAAACATTCTTCTGTTATTTGGAAGGTCTTGCATTCTGCTGCTTCATGTAAAACAAAAAGGAAATTGTCTCTTCACTGCTTATATTTGTTCCAAGCATTTATCAAGTAGACTTCTAATTTTTTATTAAAGTTTGTTATAGAGATGTCAGCTAAAAGATTCTCAGCACTTAAGAAAAAAACCTCAGCGTATTGAGACACATTTATTTTGTTTTTACTGGAAATTAATGAAATACAATGTGTTATATTTGAATAGATTTAAGTTTTAAAGTACAAATATACATTTCTGAAATATGTTTACAGTTATTACATGAGCCTGGAAGGGCTTCAGGATGGCTGAGGCCTCACAGCATGACTGAAATATAATTGACGTTGGTACCAAAAAATGGTAAAACCATGAGTGTTAAAGCTGGAATCCCTGGGTGAGCTCAGGCCTTAATCTCCAAGATGGAATTTGAGTGCCTGTTCTTGTATCTGTTGTCACTGGGTTTCTCCTTCAGACAAACGGTACTTTTCAAAAGGTGTTATGTTGAACCAGTGTGAATGACTCATATAGAAGTATGGCCTTTCTTGCATTAAACTAGTGAACTAGACTTCTGTTAGGTACTTTGCCTCTGAATGAGTCCCTCATACTAAAAGTTTTGCAGAATAAAACAAGAGATTAGTCTGAGTTACAGAATAGGTGCTTAAAAACTCTACCAGAACTGAAACTCATTGGAACTGTGGGAGACTAGTGAGGAGCTTTTAAAGAGCAGACTGGGTTTATTTAAAAAGCAAAGATTAGGGCCTGCACTTAGAACACAAAGACACCCCCATGCACAGCCTTCACACCCCTGATTCATTCTTGTTGGCAAGTATCTCTCAGTTTTAGTAGAGACTAAAATACAAGTAGGAAAGGTTCAAGCCTCTGGGCCTCACTATCCTAGAAGCACCAGAGAAGCAGATAGATTTACTGGCCTTTACACAAGAAAGACAGAATGCTTCATTTATGCATAGGCCCAATAGAACTGAATAACTGAAAATGGCACATTTTTCCACTACCTACAACGGGATAAATTTTTGGGCTGGAGACTGGTGCCAAATATTTTTCTGCACTTGATGCATCAGCAGGGATCTGGCTGGTGCCCTTACAAAAACAGAGCACGTGTTTGCACACATTCAACATCCATCCCCCTATGAGGCACAGTTTCCTCAAACTGCCATTTAGGTTGTGTTTGGCACCTGAGGTGTTTCACAGGAAAATACAACACGTTCTTGATGACATACTAGGGGGAGAATATTGGAGTCAGCATACATGAAGTTTTGATCCTGGGAAATACAGTAGGTAAAATTGTGAACAGGGTTTTACCATAGCTGAGAACCTACACCTACCTCACAGGGTGAGTAATGTGAGGTGTGCAGTACCCACAAAAATCAAGCCCCATTGGCCATGAAAACTTCTTACTTTATGCTGTAGTTTTGTCACATTACTTCTGCCATTTTCTTTACTAATGAGATATCTGAAAACAGTTAAAAGCAATAAATTATGCTTTTGTAATTACTTTTTTTTTTTTCCTCCTGTGGACACAGGGAATTAGCATACATAAAAATCATAAAAATATTCAGATGTTCATGACTTTGAAAATGTTTGTCCTTCCATTTTTCTTTTCTCTCTGTTAGGTCTCTAGTGGCTCAATCCAGTCTTTCTTAACCCTCTCTTCACAGCCTTGTTAAGATCTAATTGTTTTGGCATGTCAATATCTACAGCATTCCAATATTTTCATCACATTCTTGTTTTTAAACATCTATTGTTCCTTTCAATTGGTCATTAGCAGTTTATTAAGCAGAAAGATCTATGTGGTCTTTTGGAACACTCATCTTTATTTGTCATATTTATTTATTTTTGACGATCATTTTAATGTCAAAAACTGCCAATTTGTGAAATTTTACCCCTGAGTTTCTTGGCTCCAGGGTAAAACTTCTGGTCAAACTCAGAATCTGACATTACTGTCCAATTATAGTATTCAGTAGACACACATTTGAGTTCCCAATCATTGATTTAGGTATGTAAAAGTTGAAATGTAGCTATAGAACAAACTGCAGTAAAAGCATGTAGACTTGTCATTAGGGCTTTCTGTTACATCCTTGAGAGACTGAGAACTTGAGCTTGTGTCTAAGCACTGCTCTGCCTGTGCTATCGGGACTGTCTTTGGTGCTCTGATTAGAGTTAGGGACTATTGCTTTTATGTAACACCCAAGGGAGCTTGCTTATATGACTGGAAGACTAGTTTCGAGTCTCTGAAGGTGGTTCAAACAAGATAACAGCTTCCCATACACATTATATAAATTAGGATTAACTACATGCAGATAGTTAAGGGCAGTCTGTCTTTAAAATAAATCTCTTCCTACACAACATATTGCTTCTAATTCATGTATCCCATAGATAATTTTTTATTCTGTGAAATGCTCAGCTTTATTAGTATCACATTTGTCTTTCGGTTCAAATGTATGATTTAAGTATCAGAACAACTTAGACATTGATATGCAAAGTTAGACTTTTTATTTTGAAGTGGAATAGCTCTTAATAAAGTTAGAATTATAGTCTAAGGTATACAGGAAGAAATATGTGGGGAAATGCTTCTTGAACATACCTCCACACTGTTGACTGATCTGCTAAAATAGTCTTGTAATCATCACACCAGGTTAATAAAGGTTGTGCAGCTTTTAGGGTAGTGAAAGGAAAAATAAATCAAGGTTTTGAGTTGCATTTCTGGGATGTCTGGCATAACACTTATCAGAAAACATTGGAGAACTGTGTAACTTTCTCAGGATGACAGTTGATCAAGGCAGCAGCCGTTTTAACTGCCTCCCACACAGCTTTACCCTCAGCAGCTCAGTCAGATTCAGATGATAACTTGTCAATGATTCTTGGCAAGGCTGAGAATCAACTCAAAAGCTGATCTGTGGTTAATAAGGCCAAGTTCATTGGGATAACACTAGAATTTAGCCTTTTTTTTTTTTTTTTTTTTTTTTTTCCAAGCTTAATGCAGTATCTTATGGCTAAGATACTGCATTTCAGAAAGTTTGTTGTTTGACAACATATAAGATTGTGAGTCCTGATTTCCACTGCTACTGGAGTCAGACAAAAGCTCTCCTTGCTGTGGAGCAAGTCCTTCATGTTCAACTATTTCAGGGTACTTTTTTTTTTTTTTTATTGATTAAAACTAAAAGAACTGGGAGGACTTGGAGAAGCTGAATTCATTGTTTGTTCTTAAGCCACCCATCGTAAGAGAATTTCATGTTGAATGAATAAGAATTTCAACAGTGTTCATGTTTCATGTTCAGTGTTACATAACAGTTTGAAGTCTGAACCTTAGCTAAATTATCCTCTGAGACCAAGCTGAAAGATATTTCCTTATGCTGTAGCATGTTTAATTTAAAAAATTCTATCAAGTTCCTTCTTCAAGGAAGCAATGCAGGTGCTGCATGAATAAAGTTAAGCTTCTGCTATCTGATGACTACCTGATTTCAGAAACTGGTAACTGGTGATCATAGCATAGTTTAAATATTATAACATGAAAGTATAGCAATAAATATAGTTTAGACCAGTTATCTGGAGTGCTTGTTCTGTTTGACACTGTTTTGCTAACTGTGATGCCATCCATTGAGAACTTTATTTGCTGAACACATCAAAGAAAGCTCTGATATATGAATTCTTATAAATCACATTGTAAGGCTTTACATGTACAACATGTTGATTGTCTATCATGATTACTTGTGTCGAGGTCTAGTGCGGTCTCTACCAGGTCTTTTAAAAGGAGGAACCTAGAAAGATGGAAGATATGGTTGTTTATGTACTCTTCTCTACTTTAGGATAATCATTTATTGAAAATGTTACCTGAAGATAACTGCACTTCATTGGTTGTGGATTTGGGGGGAAGTTGAATTGATCAGTAGAGAAAGAAGCACCTCTTGCTTTTGTAAGGTTGCCTTTGTTCTTCCATCTATACCACAAAACATATGATTTATTCTTTAGAATTGATCAGACTATTTAAAGAATACAATACTTAGAGTAATCATCCTCTTCTTCAGTAATGGAAGTTTCTCAAATGAGATTTAGTGAAATCATCAAGGTCCCTTTACCAATATCCTAAAATATTAATTCTCTTTTCTTTTAGTACGTGTCTCTCCCACTGCATGGATGCAGAGACCTTGAGGAGGGGCCAAGATGCAGAATTCCATATTGCTTTTAATGTGCAAATCTTTGGGGTATTGCTTGGACACCTAGTAAGTGATAACCTCTTCCTGCAACTCCCTGAGAATCTTGAAATCTTGTATTGACTTTGCCAAGGAATGAAAACTTACTTTGTAGACACCTCAGGTTTGCTATTATAAGGGAGTCATTGTTTTATTATTTTGACTAGCACAGCACAGATTACAGACAAAAATAGAAATAGTGAAGTACCTGCCAATGCTCCTTGTTGAAATGGCTCCCTTTAATACAAATATTTAGTTGGATATAAAAACATAGCTTGACTAGGTAGCAACTCGGCAAAAAAAAAAAAAAATCTGGAAAATAAATGGAAATCCTTGAGATCAATATCAGTCTGAAGTAGTGTGGATACCATCAATTTTACTGAATAGTGGGAGTCTTAGAACCTCAAAGAGGAAAAAAGCTTAATTACAGCGGAAATAAACCAGTTCAGGAAAAAAATCATAAAAGTGCTGTGAGTTAGGTCTGATCAAAAACACACTGATGAGAATACTGGCAAAAGAAAAGACAGAGAAAGATTTATTGTGTCTATCAAGAATTGAGTTGTGTTCTGAAACACTTATGTTTCCATGGACTGAGAATTACTGGAATAAAACATTTACTTAGAAACAGAGTGAGCATGCAGCCATTATGCTGATTATGACATGTTTGTAGAGAAAGGAAAAAGGAAATGTTTTGCAGGCAAGGATGGGTTATTGGACTGGAATACATGATTGATTTTTTTTTTAACTACTGTAGGATGGATTTCACAGAGTAGCCACATAGTGCCAAACACGACATTATGAACTGCCAGTACAAAAATCAGTAGAGGAGGATGTATCTTGCTTGAATTTAACCTTTTGAGTCAATTATAGGTATGTACAGAGTTGGAAAAGTTCACTGTCAAAAGGTGCTTTTCTCCCAGTGCTCTCTGCAGGGACTGCCCACACAGCTAGTTTATTCCAGATGCCAACATCTTGGGCAGACGAATGGAGTGGAGTTCTGTTCAGTGGATTCACGAAATTTAATCATTGCAAAATTTGAGAGAAGGTATTTTTTTTTTCCTTCCTTCTCCCACTTGAACTTTTTATTTATTTATTTATTATTGCCCCATGCTGTTCTTCCAATTTTGGAATTGAAAAAAATTAAGAGTAAGTTATTAAAATCAATTTTCTCAGAGCTTAGTACCATCTAATTGACAGAAATAGGGTGTTCAAATGTTAATGTTTGAGTGATTTAAGAGTTTGGCTAAATTGGCTGCCTTGCTGCTGATCATTTTCAAAGAGCTCTTCAGTTAATGAATTGATAAAAATGAGAAGCCTTGAGAAGCAAAAGGATAAGTTTGTGCAAATATGGCTATTGGTCTGTGAACAATCCGAATATACATTTTCATCTGTTTTCTGAAGTAAACTGGTCAACAGATAATAAATCTATCTTAGGGGTCCTACTAACAGGTAGAATTGGCAAAGTTATTGATAATAAGAAAAGACAAGTGGACAGGCTGGGTGCATAGTACAAATAAGCTAGGAGGGTAAGAATAAAAATTGGTCTTTGCAAAAAGAGAACTGTAATTATAAAAGAACAGTTATTGCCAAGTAGCCTGAAAGAAAACAATATAGTAGCGAAACATGTCAGAGCAAAATATTACTTGGAGACTGATTCAGAGCCCTTTGAATTATATTTTAAAAAAACAAGCCCTTGACTTGAGTGGTCTTTTTATCTGACCTAACTGTAGAAGATAGAAATAATTAATGTTTTGGTCAAGTTTAAAATTGTTTATAAAAAAAAAAAAAAAAGTCATCAAATGCAGGGTGAAACATGGAACAAAACTCTGTTTTATGGTCACTGGATTCACAGATGGGGTATTTTTGTCTTCTGAGATTTTCTTATTTCCTTATTATCTCAATATACTCAGACTTAACCAAAAAAGCACCCAATTTTTTATTGCTTCCTTCAAATAATCTTTGCTTTGCCTTACTATCACAAGAACAACACAAGACAAACATAAAGAAAAAAAGCCAAGAACATGAACTGTACAAAACATTTATAGGAAACATATAGGAAATTAGCTTTGATGTTGCTAATAAAAGAGCATGTGGAAAATCGAGCAATAGCATTGCAAAAATATTACACGTATAAATCGTTAAAAACCAAACAGAGCCAGATGCAGCTGATCCGTTTTCAGCTTTGTCTAATGTGTGAGGCAGGTGCTTTCTGTGCATGAACACTGGCTCTCCTTTCGTCTAATATGGAATAGGACAGAAGCTTTGTCTGCATAATTACTGTTTTATACAAAACAAAACCAAACAAAAACAGCACAGAGTATGAAGAAGGAGAGGGCACATAACCTTGCATCAGCATCTGTGGGATAGGTCTTGTCTCATGGATGTGAGGTGGCACCATGGTCCTGGGAACTGGGAAGTGTGCCTGGTGTAGACATAGGTTCAATGTATTACCGAAAGATGTTGAGGTATTATGTTGATGAGTCTTTTAGAAAATAAATAAAACCCCAGAACAGCTGGAGGAAAATGTTTGTTAATTCTGCCTTGTTAATTATTTAAATGTTTTGGGTTTACCTAATTTTGTCTGATAAATTACCTCTAATTTCTCACAACGATCACCGTGGGGAGAGAATGTCAGGTGAGTTCTAAGTTTTCATGTTACCTGTTTGCATTTATTTAAAAAAAAAGCTGATATTACTAAAAATTGTAAGATTTCTAGATTTTGGCTTAAGTCTTGGAAATAATTTATTTTGTTCTGATTTTTCCAGCCTAAAAGAGAGATCTGATGTATTTAAGTCTCTAACCTTGTATGAAAATGATAATAAAAGATCAGATTTCAGTTACTTTTTGAAGTAAAAATATGAATGAAAGTAGGTGAAATTTGTTTAACAATGTAACTGTATTAACATATGATAAGTATCTTAAAAATATATATATTTTCCTACTTATTAGCTCATGTAATTAGATGTTAGACCGCTCTTGGAAAAAATAGCTGTGGGAGTAAAGGAATGGTACTCAGTGCAGATAGTATAAGGCAATGGTTGTGGTGCAAAGATGCCATAGAATGTAATAAAAAATATCTGTTGTGATCTAAATTTAGTATTATCAGAATCTGGGGAAAATTATGTCTGAGAAGTCATTAGGGCAAGAACAAAGTCTAGTGCTGCAGAGAAAATAGCTGATGCCAAGCTAAAGGCATCTTTATTTACAGATGATTCAGATCTGAATAGTAGTTCAGAAAATTGCTCACTAAAAATGGAAACCATCATCATATTAAACTTCACATGGAAGTGAGAAAACAGGAAACATGGGTCCCAGTACTGTGGAAGCAGCCCATGTGCATTGGCCTGTGTGTGTGTGTGTGTGTGTGAGAGAGAGAGAGAGAAAGAGAGAGAGAGAGAGACAGTTCTGAATGTTACAACTTTGTCCAGAATTCAGAATTTGAACTGGTTTTAGATCCAAGGTTGTCATCCGTCTTCGCTTGCTATAATGCATTTATCCAAATCCCAGGTTCAGATGCTCTCAAGGTTGTTGTTGTTGCAGCAGCAGTCCTGCATTTCTTTTTTCCCAGGCCTGTAGGTGATGTTTAAGTTCTCTGTTGCTTTATGACTATTGTGTTGAGCTAAGTAAAGTCTGGATATTTTATAAATTATGGTGAAATTATTTCAAAGAAAAATAAAATTCTCAGTATTTCAGATGTTTTTTCAGAAATACTTTGGTCATAAACATTACACCATACAATCTGTGGGTTGAATATCTGGATGTACCTTCCATTTAAAATTATTATCTTAAAATGACGTGAAATAAATGACTTGTTAGTGTTAGGTCAGAGGTTGGACTCGGTGATCTTGGAGGTCTTTTCCAACCTAGACGATTCTGTGATTGATAGATTTCAGTGTAGGTTTGTTCAGAACAGGGCCAGAGCTGTGCAGAAATTGAAGTCACAGACATCACAACTATGTCTGTACTTTCTGTGTTGAACATTAAGTGGCTTCAAAATTGTTTGAATTCATCCCTTTTGGGAACTACATTTTTTTTGGATGAGAAAGTTACAGAAAGAGAAACTGTGATTAACAGAAAAGCTTAAAGGTAGCCCTATAAAGGGGATGAGAAATCACAACTCTCAGTTTTGGAAAGTGAAGCTTTCTTTGGAAAGCAAAAGACAACACTAAACTAATATTTTTTTCTTTTCTTTAATGTCTTTTTATGTTTGTAGTTTGTACATAATATATACTTTAGTAAGTTTTGTAGTCAGTCAAAACAACAGACATTTCCCCTATTACCCTGCAGGTTTCTCTAGGTTTATAAAAATGTTTAGTTGTTTTCTGTCCATCTCATATTCCTTATTTATGGTTCACATAAGAAAGTCACTGGGGAATTGGACCATGGTTTTTATTTTCTGGCTGTTGTCGCTGTTGGTGTATGAAAATGTGAAACATCTTGAATTTGTAAGCTAAGGTAATTGTGCAGGAATCTTGATAATGAAATCTTGTTTTGACTAGGAAGCAATATGGTATGAAATTCATCATCTTAAAATCAAGAGCATGCTTCAGAAAGGAGTAATTATTCACCTAGGAAGCACTTTGAAGAGTCATCTCTTTGTTTTAAGTAGTATCTCTTGACAAAAGAGCAAGTTATAACTGGTTTGATGTTTTGCTACTTTCTAAGTATGATACTCTGAGCAAAGCCTGAGTTTTGTAGCTCAACAGAACAGTTGTGTGCTTCATGCTTGGAACCATTTGAGCATCCTTTTTCTCTCCTGGAAATCTAAGGCTGGGGAGAGAAACCATTAATGTAGTTGCTGAACCTACCATCGCTGCAGTTTCTCCTTTCCCGCTTCTTAGGTAGGTCTCTTCTAGATGGATTTGTGACTTCTGAGAGATAAAAGTGCATAGGCAACTGGGACTAGAGAAACCATAAGTCGTGTGGGAAGCGAGTTTTGGACTTTTAAATTAGAAATGAGGAAGCTCACTTCATAGGTAGTGGTCACCAGATGGCACTGTTACATATGATGATGTCTAGTGTTTCATATTGGTTTTTGTTGTCTTCAATCAGGCCTTCACATCTATTATCTATTGTTATCTATGACCTGAGACAATTGCTGGAGAGAAAATATAGCAATCACTGAAGTTGCTGTGATGCTGCTCATAATTAAAAGGGATTGCTTACACTGATTTGTTTCCTGAGAACCATGAATTTGTAGGTAGTCTAAGCTAATTGGAAAGTGAATAATGCTTATGTATTATTTGTTACAGACAGTGCATCATGATTTGTGCAAATATGTGAGATGAGCTATAGACCGCTTCTAGTAAGTGCTCAGTGAGGCTTCCGCAGAGTAGTGGTATTGTCAGAAAACAAGAAATAAAATAGTTTCCTTCAAAATTATCCAGTAAAAATCTCATTTTTATATATATTTTATAGGGTTTTTAGATGTTGTCAAAATAATTGGAGAGCTGAAGATGTTTCCATTGTGCTCTTGTGGGAATGAGAACTGATTTTTGTTGCAGTTT